ATCGATACGAAATATAACTCAACGTTCATGTTCATCAATCTTTAATGTTCATCATTTCTATCACAACTTGATAAAGAATTTTCTTATCCTCGAAGCTTTGTCATACGAATAAGAAACCCTAATATTGAAAATTAAATAAATAATAATATATTTTTTTGTGTGCTGCAAACATCACATATTTTAGCTTACATAACGCAATCCCACTGCGTTTAAATCGCCACATCGATCCAATGCTTATTGCAGTTTACCACCTATCGACCTTATTCAAAATGGACGTTTATTTCTGGCATTAACGCTTGCTAACCGTCATATGCGATAGTTATATCAAACCTTTCTGGATTTTTTGGTGTGGGTTTACAGTTTGCAGTAGCAAATATTTGTGGATAGTTACCGCCTTCACTATGAATGTATATTACTATTATAAAAAAAATTAGCAACCTTTTTAACGGTAAGTGAAATTTAGGTTGAGATCTATAGAGCGTACTTTGACTTTGCTCAGACTGTACTTAATAAAAACTTAGCTGTGTACATGCTTAGCACAATATTTGATTCTGAATTTATAGTTGTATCGGGGTAAGAATAAGCCAAGCTAGTGAAATTAAAAAGGTTTATTATTTAAAAATTGAATAGAATCCAAATTGTATTACACATGTAAGTTATTATTGCATTTAATTTATTTTAGTTTAAATATGAAAATTAAGCCGAACTTTTGGTCAACCGGTCAAATCATAACGTCAAGCTATTAGTTTATTGATGATTTGTAAATTTTTCATTTATATTTTAAATGAATTATCATTTATTACGATAGACTTTGGATCTTGGACTCCTGATTCTACCTATATACCTACCTACCTATTTGACCTACACTTCCTGAATTTAAGCCAGACATTCTTTGGGATTTTGTGTAACCAACGTGGGTTAAGGAAATTGTGATATAATGAAGAATATAGTGAGAGTTCTGTCTACTTTGTAAATTTAATAATAATATAAAAGTTTGGCTAAAATAGCTTCTGTCCTGCTGATTCGACGATTGTGAACATTTAAAAAAATACGAATAAGTTTGAAATTACGTAAATAAGAAATTGTACTAACTTTCAAAACCTAGAAAATGGCCTAAAACTACCTATTCATTGTTATAAATAGTTATATCTAAATAGAATATAAATAATTATATCTGAATAGGAATATCCGGATAGAAATAATTAATACGATTACATAAAAACAACAATTTGAAGTTATTGTTCCTATTCTCTGATATTAAACAAAACCCGGTGGTATTCGTAAGGTTAATGTATTTCCGATTTATAGCTGGCGTAATTTAATACTGTTTGTTGCCTGCACCAATTCAATCTGATGAAAGTTTGCACGCTTAGAACTCATAGTCACGCTTTTGAAATAGAGAAACTGTCGATATTTCACTTTATAGTTAACCTTTGCTTTTAAGTCAATTTATCGTTTAAGTAAAAAAAAACCGCTAAGTAAAAACTTACGATCTTAGCGGTCAGCCGCCGTAGAGTCTATATCACCTGAAGATGCCTCGTGTAGAGGCGAAACATGTGTCGTATTGTCGTCGATGGTATATTTTTCCTAGAATAGTGGTGTTGGGAGTAGTATTGCCGGGAGTAGTGGTGCTGGGATAAGTGGCGATGGGATTAGTGCACGCAATTGCGGGAGGGCGGGAGGTGTATTTTTATACGGATAGTTGCGAAATAATGTCTTTATCATAAGTAATTGGTTGCTCGTTTCTAGCTGAACCATACTCCGGTATGCCATTATTAAGTGAACGTACCCTCTCTGAATTTTACGCTGTTAAATATTTAAATGCATGCATTAAGAAATAAATAAATAAATAAGAAATTGTACTAACTTTCAAAAACTAGAAAATGGCCTAAAACTACCTATTCATTAAAAGGTAAAATACAGGGGGCAATCCTTCGTGGCACACCTTTTAACTTCGGGAGAGCGAAGTGTATTGTTTGTCGATCGCTTCATCAACCATAAGTAATTGATAATTGATAGAATTAGGCGTTACTTTGCAGAAATCCATTACAATAAAGACATTAATTCGCAACTATCCGCATAAAAATACAATGATGTGTCTTACCTGGATTGAAGAACACCTCCCGTCCTCCCTCAATTGCATGCACTAATCCCGTCACCACTACTCCCGGCACCACTACTCCCAACACCACTACTCCCGGCACCACTACTCCCAACACCGCTATTCCAGGAAAGACACACCATCGACGACAATACAACACGTGTTTCGCCTCTACACGAGGCATCTTTAGGTGATGTAGACTCTACGGCGGCTGACCGCTAAGACCGTAAGTTTTTAGTTAGCGGTTTTTTCACTTACAATAATAACGTCGTCGATGGTGTGTTTTTCCTGGAATAGTGGTGTTGGGAGTAGTGGTGCTGGGATTAGTGGTGACGGGATTAGTGCACGCAATTGACGGAGGGCGTGAGGTGTATTTTTATGCGGATAGTTGCGAAATAATGTCTTTATCATAAGTAATTGGTTGCTCCTTTCTAGCTGGACCATACTCCGGTATGCCATTATTAAGCGAACATACCCTATCTGAATTTGACGCTGTTAAATATTTAAATGCATGTATTAAAACATTAACAGTCTTATTCATAAAAATCCACTAAAATGGCGTTATAACAGTGATTAGTTAAAATGCTCAATAGTACTATTAAACCTATTATAAAATCTCTATTCATAAACGTTCAATAAACCTGTCATAGTTAAATCATATTTATGGAATACTTTAGTTTTATTATGTTGTCATTCTGATGAATCCATAGACAAGCCACAGTAAAAAAAAGTTTGACAGCAATTGTGACATTTCCGTCAAAACAAGCGTGGTGTTTTCATTAAATCAATTCAAGAAATTGATTTGTTTTATATTCATATATAACTCAATAAAAATAATGGAAAACATAACATGTAAAAAGCGGCAAAGAAGTGAAAATTGGCTGGAGGAAGATAAGGTTAGTATGTGACTAAAGTAATTTTGTCGTAGGTGCTTAGTGCACAAATGTTACTTAACTGTGTTGTTATAATAGTATCCTTTTTCTTTCCATAGCATTTATTGATGGATTTGGTAAGGGAGCGTGTATCAGTAATTGAAAATAAAAATACTGATACAAATACAAACTCAAAAAAGCTAGCAGCATGGGCAGATTTATTATGCAGGTACCTATTTTTGTCTATCAATTTGTGAAGTGTTCGAAGATGAGTCTTCAACGCAATGATATTCTATGTACGGTCAGTTACATTTTATGCAACAGAATCATGTCACTTCGTCTCTTGCTGGTCTAATGCATATAAGCTTTTAAAGTCATAACAGTGGGCAGTCCACATAGTTCATAGAACATAGGATTGGACGGGTTGATCTACTATGAGAAAGTGCAAAAAAGTCCTCAAGATCGCTTGCATTGTGATTGACCCATTTTGAATATTAAAATGTCAAATATTTGTATAAATTGTGATTATACTTTTTTCCAGTTTCAACAGTATGTGTAAAGGTGGCACTCGCACTCTTTCCCAAATAAAATCCCAATGGAGCATCATTAAAATGACAAAAAAGAAAATTAAGTCTATCGAACGAAAGAATCTTCGCCAGACTGGTGGTGATTCACATCCAAGTAGGAACCCTGAAAATGCAGACGACATTTGTTCATGGTTCCCTAACGAATTTGTCATTGACACCAATGAATTTGATTCTGATGAAATAAATCAGGTATTACATACGTCAAGATTCTAAGTTAAAGGTCGCAAGTTTTATCTCCACCCAGTACAAACTTTAATGTTGCGTAAAAAATATATTTGTTCCTTTTCTACCTAAATAGCATACCTACTAAAGTTTATCCATGCTTAAGTACATTATTATTTTAATTATTTATTGCATTGTTTGTAGATTGGGGAGCCATCGCAAAATGAAATCAAAGTGGATGGGATAAATAAACTTGTCAATGTTGAAAACAAGTCTTCAGATAATGTGAGCATCCATAAAGCATTGAGATAGCTAGCAATTTTCATATTTTTCATACCTATTTTATTTTTATATTTTACTGTTGTAGGACACAAAGAGTGCAGTAAAGGATGTCACAGTAGAAATACTTGAGGAGATCCAAACTACACGAGAGGTAAATATGTGAAATGTCATAAACCAAGTACTAACTAAACATGTGCCAAAGTGGGAATCGAACCCATAACTTGATTTGTAATTCTGGATTGTAAAGTTTAGGCATAAAAATAATAGTTGAATAAACAATGGTCTATTTAAACTTAAATTTTATTTGATGAAACATTTTATGTCAAAGTATATTTAAGATTACGTTAATGAAAACATGTTTCTTTTAACGGTTTCCTTCGCTGCAGGTTGTATCTACTGGCTCAGCACCAAAACCACTCTATACACCATCTAAGAAACCTGAAAGAAAGAATAAAACTGAGAAAAAGGTGAATATAATGACCTCTACTCTAATAGGGATTATGTTAATTTATGAAATTGTTTTTTTTTTTACTCTGAGGACTCTGAGGCTTCGAAAAATCTTTCAGAGAGTGATTTAAGGAACTGCTGGATTGTTGGGAGCTCTAAGTCTCGGTGTAGGTCGGCATTACGGACATAATAGGGCGAGTTAGTGGCCCTACGACAGAATAGACTTTGAACTATTTGAAGTTCATTTATAACTTTGGGGTTGATTTTTTTAAATACTCAAACATAACTATTTGTATTTCAGACCGCAGATCATGCAGAAACTATAGCCAATACTGAAATCGAGTGCAGGAAAGAGGTTCATCAAGCCCAAATGGCAAATGAAGAAAGGAAAGCCCGAAACTTGGACCTCGATGAGACTTACTTACTCATACCCTTAATTAGCTAAAATGCCTATCGATAAATGCTCGTAGAAGAGCATTATTGGAGTCTCTTCCTCTGGCCTCACCAATTTGAGGTAGAAGTTCAGCATCTACAATTGTATTGAGTTCATCATGATCTGAAAATTATATTATTATTATTATGTAAAGAAATATTATATTCATGAATGACTAAAATTATTTGTGTGCAAATTACCTGGTACCGAATCCTGTTGTCCTATTGCAATATTGTGCAACACTGCAAGAGCCACAATTGTAGGTTTCACATTTTTCATGTGTACTGTCATGCCATACAACAGACTTTGAAACCGCTGCTTCCACACTCCAAAGCAACGTTCAACACAGTTGCGAGTGGCAATTTGTGCTCGATTATATTTTTCTTCACGCTCATTTTGTGGTCTTAGTATAGGTGTGAATAGATATGGCTCTAATCGGTAGCCTGAATCTCCTAAGAGTCTCCCTCTAAACTCTCTTCTTTCAAAGCGCTCTTTAAGAGTCGATTCGTTAAAGATACTGGAATCATGGGTACTGCCTCGCCATCTGGCAACGATGTCTCTGATATACAGCTTAGCATCGCAAACGCATTAAAAATTTAAAAAAATATGTGAGCACAGTTATGTATGTAGGTAAAATAAATACATTCATACATTTATATATACACATATATATGTATATAAGTAATATACCACCTGGCAAAGAACTGCATTGTATTATTATATGAACTTACTTGTACATTCAATGAATAAAATCCTTTTCGGTTTATATAATACTGAGCTGCATCACCACCAGATTTCTTTATTTTTATGTGAGTACAATCAATGCAACCCAACACAGAAGGGAAATTTCTTATCTCTAAGAATTCCCTTACAACCCTTTGCTCTTCTGCCAGAGACTGTGGCATTTTTATGTACGTCTCAGAGTGACGAGCAATCGCGCGAGCTACTCTGGCACAAATGCGACTCACAGTTGGTTGTGTCAACCCATGAAGGTCTCCCCCATCATCTTGAACCTAAAACGGATAGGTACAAAACCGTTTACACACTCATTTAAGGTATTATTACTTGTATACTACGAGTTGAGACTTACTTCACGACGTCCCCAACATCTAATGGCAGTTAACACCTGCAATTCTGGTGATGTACCACAACCCCTTGGGTCCAGTTGTAAATCCTGCCTTACAAGATCAATTATAAAAGATGCCGTATGTTTATTGAAGCGGTATCGCTTTTTGAACTCTACATCGGGCAAAGAAAACGGATCATATCTCTTCTGGTAAACCTTACGACGACGATGCGGAGCATTTCCTAGTTGCTCCATAGCTTCTAAAGCTTGCAGAGCTTGCATATCGAGACTTTTTAGTAATCAAAATCCACAAAAAACAATTTCACCAACAATAACTTAAACGACTTAAACAAACAGCTGTTCGTTGCTCGCACGCAAGTCGGCCATATTTTTCTTTATTACAGGTTTATAGTAGGGTGTACCCTTCTATAACTTATGAAGCCGTTATAGAACACTTATAACGTGTTTGAGTTATTAAAGGTATATGAATAATGTTTTACGGGTACCTCCTTATAACAAGGTAATACATAACATAAATACATAAACACTCACGCCTGTCACCCAGAGGGGTAGGCAGAGACTACAGACTTCCATTTGGCACGATCCTGACAAACCTCTCTCGCCTCCTTCACATCCATACACCTCCGCATACATGCTCGTCGGTTAAGGGTACTCCTAATTTGGCCCGTTTTCAATAAATCGCCAATTTGGTCGATAAATTTTCGCCTAGGACGTCCCTTTCCGACTCTGCCATTCACTTCTGCAACATAAATTTTCTTTGTCACTCTTTCCTCATTCATTCTTTCCACATGACCAAACCACCGAAGCATTCCTTTCTTAATCCTGGTCACAACATCATCTTGCAAACCACACTCTTCTCTTATTACACAATTTCTTACCCTGTCATTAAGATTCAGCCCTAACATACTCCTTAACGACCGCATTTCTACTGCGTTCATTCTACTCTCGTGCTTCTTCTGCCACACCCAACTTTCACTACCATATGTTAAAGTAGGGACCAACACAGCATTGTGAATTGCCATACGTGCCTTTTTCGACACATTTTGACTCTTTACAATAGAGTACAGGGCCCCATTTACTCTATTTCCCGCATTCACTCGTCGTTCTATATCCTTATCATATCTCCCATCCCTGCTAAATACGCAGCCCAAATATACAAACTCGTCTACTTGCTCGATCAACTCCCCTTCTATTCTTATTTCACAAATCGTTTTACTTTCTTCTCTTTCAAAAACCATAACCTTCGTCTTACTTGCGTTCACTTTCATACCCCTTTCTTTTAATGATCTGTTCATTAATGTAACCATCATTTGCAACTCGGCCGCCGACGACGCAAGGATAACTTAATCATCGGCGTACAAAAGGCATTTGACGGTTAACTCACCCATTCTTAATCCGCATTCTTCAACTTTCAAATTTTGCAAACAACTGTCCATAAATAGGTTGAACAGCCACGGGGGAAGCTACACAGCCCTGTCTGACACCTTTATTGATGTCAAACCAGTCCTAGTAGACCCCGTTGATCCTAACACAAGCACTAGAGTCCCTATAAAGGGACTCCAATGCCCGTATCAAGCCAGCGCTCAACCCAAATGAGTTCAGTGTTTGCCATAGCACATCCCTATTCACCCTGTCATAGGCCTTTTCCAAGTCCATGAACGCACAAAAAACCTTTTGGTTTTTGGCCAAAAACTTCTCCGCGATCATGCGCATGGAAAAGACTTGATCTGTACATCCCATTCCCTTTCTAAATCCTGCTTGCACATCCCAAATTTTTCCATCAGTTTCTTTCATGACCCTTTCAATCAGTACCTTAGCATACAGTTTTCCCACAATGCTAAGAAGGCTGATGCCACGGTAGTTTTTACAATCCTGCTGCGACCCTTTTCCCTTATATACTGGGACTATCACGGCTTTGCACCAGTCTACCGGTACCCGCTTCAGTTCCCAGCATAAATTAAACAAGGTGTGCAGCAGGCCTGCCACCACTTCCTCTCCAGCCCTTAGCATTTCGAGTGAAACTCTATCATATCCGGCAGCCTTACCTACTTTCATGCTTTTCATTGCTTTCATTATTTCACCTACACTAATCTCGCTACCTCTTTCCTCTTCCTTCGGAATTTCTACTTCACTTAGTACACACGTTGTCTCCTCACTCATAAACACGCTTTCAAAATATTCCTTCCATCTCTTTAAACTCAAAACTTCATCATTCAGAATATAGCCATTCTCGTCTCTTATAGCATTCATCATAGGCTGTTTTGAATGTCCCCTGGCAGTTCTTACAAGTTTCCAGAACATTTTAATATTTGCCTGGAAATTATCCGATATTCTTCTATCATTCTTATCCGTTCTTTCTTGCTTTTTTCTTTCAACTACTTCTTTTACTCTCTTATTAAGATGTCTAAAGACTGCCTTTTTTCTTTCAATATCATCATTCGTACCGCTAGAATTACCAGCCTTTGTTGCTAGTAAATCTAGCCATGCTCTCTTCTTTGCTTCAACTTCCATACGTACCTCATCATCCCACCATAACGTATTATTTTTCCTTTCATTCTTTCTCTTACTAACACCACATACTTCGGTAGCTGCATCCACTAAACCTTTCTTTACATTTTGCCATACATTCTCTAAGTCTAACTCCTTCATACATAATTCATCCAAACCACTTATATTTTCTTTCAGTCTACATTTGAACTTCTTTTTCTCACCTTCATCTTGTAACCTTTCTGTTCTAATACGCTGTAACGCAGTGGTAGACACAGATGACCGATGGCGCCAACGCCTGAATAGACCATTAATTCGGCATAGAACCAAATAATGATCCGTTCCTACGTTAGAACCCCGGTAAACCCTTGTATCTACAACTGCGCCCCTCAATCTTTCATCCACAATTATTAAATCTATCATGCTTCTATCGTCACCTCTTTCCCAAGTATACATTGAATCCTCTTGTGGCGAAAGCAAGTGTTCGTCACAAAAAGATTCTTTTCCATACATACGGTGAGGAGACTTTCACCATTCTCATTTATACTTTCATCACCAAACGTTCCCAATATCCTTTCATAACCAAGCCTCCTCACCCCAACCCTTCCATTAAAATCTCCTAGCATAATAATATTTTCATTTCCCTTACACTCCATTAACACCATCCTTACCATTTCCCAAAACTGCTCTCGGATATAAGTGGGCTTAGACATGTCTGGGGCGTAGACCCCTAACACAAACAACTTCTTTAAGCCCACTTTCATTCGTATCCACAGCAGTCTTGGGCTTACACATTCATACTCTTTCACACATTGGCCCATTCTTTCTGAAAGGATGATACCTACTCCCTGGCATGCCCGCTCGATCTCGTCTACACCAGACCAGTATGCGGTATACATGCCATGTGTAGTGACATCCTTTCCCTTCCCTTTCGTCTCATTTACACATAACACATCTATTCCTCTATCATTCATCATATCGCATACTTCATCCATTTTATCATTCATTGCCCCACATACATTCAACGTAGCCAGACGGACCTCTGCAATCCACTTTTCGCCTCTCCGGGAGACAGAACGTGACGGGTGGCGAACCTCGTCGCCGGTTTTCCTCCCGGAGAACAAGGTAATAAACCTATTTTAACTTTTTATGAATAAGACTGTAAGACTTTTGCTGAAGTTACCTTGCTTTCTGGTTCTGGTGCAGCTATTACGAGGAGATTTCCTTCGTTGAGGGCTATCAGTACAGCAGCTGAACTGACCACCCATTGGATTACATGACGCGCTGCGCGGAAAACAAACACTTTGATGTCGGGTGAATAAGCTATTACAACGCTCGTGGTGATCGCTGGGATGACGCTGGGCTGCAGTGACGGTGTAGCGACTGGATGTAGGACAGTTGCTAACTAGCTTTATTCGCTTACTAAGCAATGGCTATTCCGAAGATATCCCGGACGTCAGTCTGAGCGAGATTAGAATGGCTCTCCACCACCTTAAAAACGGCAAGGCCCCGGGCGAGGATGGAATTACAGCGGAGCTTCTAAAAGCGGGTGGAACACCAGTACTTGAAGTCCTTCAGAAGCTCTTCAATTCCGTCCTCCATGGTGGCACTACTCCGGAGGCGTGGAGTAGAAGCGCGGTGGTCTTGTTCTTTAAGAAAGGCGACAACGCTCTCTTGAAGAACTACAGACCGATTTCCCTTCTGAGCCGCGTCTACGTGCTGTTTTCGAGAGTCATTACAAATCGTCTCGCACGCAGACTCGACGACTTCCAGCCTCCCGTACAAGCCGGTTTCCGAAAAGGCTTCAGTACCATAGACCATATACATACCCTTCGGCAAATTGTACAGAAGTCCGAAGAGTACAATCTGCCACTTTGCCAGGCGTATGTGGACTATGAGAAAGCCTTTGATTCCGTCGAAATTTGGGCGGTGCTACAGTGTCTTCAGCGGTGCCTAGTTGACTGTCGGTATATTGAAGTGTTGAAGTGTTTGTACAGTAGGGCTACGATGGCTATCCGAGTACAGAACCAGAGTACGAAACCTATCCAACTGCAGAGAGGTGATGTTATATCCCCAAAACTCTTCACCGCTGCGTTGGAAGATGTTTTCAACTGGACTGGAAAGGATACGGTATTAACATCAATGGCGAGTACATCACTCACCTTCGATTTACCGACGATATAGTCCTTATGGCAGAATCGCTGGAGGACCTTAGCACTATGCTCAATGACCTCAATGGTGTCTCCCAACGGGTAGGTCTTAAGATGAACATGGACAAAACAGAGATCATGTTTAAAATCCATGTCACACCTATGCCGGTAATTGTTGGAAGTTGTTGACGAGTACGTTTACCTGGGACAAATAGTCCGACTAGGTAAGTGCAACTTCGACCTAAAGGTCAATTGACGGATTCAACTCGGCTGGGCAGCGTTCGGGAAATTACGACACATCTTCTCGTCAGGTATACCTCAATCTCTGAAAACTAAATTGTACAACCAGTGTGTGTTGCCAGTGATGACTTACGGATCTGAGACGTGGTCCTTCACCGCTGGCCGTATGAGGAACCTCAAGGTCGCTCAGCGAGCTATGGAGAGGGCTATGCTGGGAGTTTCACTGCTTGATAGACTCAGAAATGAGGATATCCGCAGTAAAACCAGAGTGACCGACATAGCCCAACGGATTAGTAACCTGAAGTGGCAATGGGCCGGCCATATAGCTCGAAGAACCGATAACCTATGGGGAAGAAAGGTTCTCGAGTGGCAGCCTCGTACCGG